TTCCTGCTCCATTGATGCTGCTTGGCCTGCTGTGTTCATCCAGCTCTACACCATATTATATGAGAGCTACATAGTTTCATTTGTTGTGAATGCCACATGGCTATCTGCCTATCCATCACTATGTTAACATCAGTGAGAGCAAGATGAGCCCTTTCAGCAGTCACCAATTGGGTGTTTAAGGGCTTCAGTATACAATTGGATGGGATGGTTGACCATGGACCTTCCTGCCTAGTATTAAGTTCTGACAAAGGTGGGAACATGGCAGGGTTCAGGTATGTCACCATCCTGTCTAATTTAATGCTCTTCTACAGATTACTTTTAAATTTCTATCCGAACTGTTAAAGAATTTGTGTCTTTGGTAACATTGTTATGAAAAAGCTGAAATAGCTTGTTGTGATTATATACTCCCAATCCCTTTAAAATATGAACAACATTGGAGCACCTCGTAATCTTTTCTGGAGATTGTCTATCTTGGATAATCAGTCCCATAATCCCTTATTCGTTCTGGTTGCACTTTTGTTCAAATAAATATGCAAACTATCTGAAAGCAAACTGATGACGAGTTAAAAGAAAGATTCCATTAGTTCAGCTAACACCTGATGCTGCACCATGGAAATTTAAGTACCCCCACAAATGAAGAGGACCACTAACCTGACAAGGCATAAAATGGATGAAAAAGGTTACAACTGAAAATGAGGCACAAGCATCTCAAAAAAACTGATGCGCTTGTATTAAAATGTAATATATTAAGTAAATTTAGTCATCATTACAAAATCAAAAATCAACCATAGACATTAGTAATCAATTTGTGCACAGAAGATTTTTAATGTATAGATTTGAAACTGATTAAAATATGCAACGATTAATAACAAACAGATAAAACTAATAAAAGACCAATGACACGGAAATACGAAAGAAAAATTAGCCATGTGAAAAAATTGGAACAATGCGCTATAGCTTGAGAAATACCTCTTATGTTCTGTGTACTATGGAACTGTTTAAAAACGTAATTGAGCATTTAACTGAAAGAGAAAAAAAAAAAATCGCTTTTCTTTTCCAGTAGCAGAGTGGATAATTAAGTTTGTTTGATTCATTAGTATTGAAGGTTGTCGATTTTTGTAGGTGAGGGATGTACATGCATCTGAAATTTCTTTAAAAAAAAAAAAAAAAAAAATTCATTCATGCAGCCCAAGTGCTGTTGGTATGATCCATAATACCGTTAGGAAGAGAGATCTGGGATTTAATATTATATTTAAATTATTATGCGGGGCAGGTGGCACGGTGGCTCCGTGGTTAGTACTGGTGCCTCACAGTGCCGGGGTCTACGTTCGATTCAAGCCTCGGGTGACTGTCTGTATGTAGTTTGCACATTCTCCCAGTGTCTGTGTCGGTTTCCTCCCACAGTCCAAGGGATGGTTACCTCCAAGTACAATAGGACCTTAATCAGATGGGCCAATGGGCCGAGGAGTGACAGATACACTTGAATTTAGATAAATGTGAGGGGCTGCATTTTGGAAAGGCAAATCAGGGCAGGACTAATACACTTAATGGTAAGGTCCTGGGGAGTGTTGCCAAACAAAGAAGCCTCAGAGTGCAGGTTCACAGTTCCTTGAAGGTGGAGTCATAGGTAGACAGGGTAGTGAAGGAGGCATTTGGCATGCCTGCCTTTATTGGTCAGTGCATTGAGTACAGGAGTTGGGAGGTCATGTTGTGGTTGTCCAGGACGTTGGTGAGGCTACTTTTGGAATACTGTATTCAAATCTAGCCTTCCTGCTACAGGAAGGATGTTGTGAAACTTGAACGGGTTCAGAAAAAATTTATTAGGACGTTGCCAGCGTTTTACAGTTTGAACTGTAGGGAAAGGCTGAATAGGCTGGGGCTATTTTCCCTGGAGTGTCGGAGGCTGAGGTGTGACCTTATAGAAATTTATAAAATCATGAGGGACATGGATAGGGTAAATAGCCAAGTTCTTTTCCCCAGGGTAGGGGAGTCCAAAGCTCGAGGGCATAGATTTAAGGTGAGAGGGGAAAGATTAAAAAGGGATCTAAGGGGCAACTTTTTCACAGAGGGTGGTGTGTGTGTGGAATGAGCTGTCAGAGGAAGTGGTGGGAGGTTGGTACGGTTACAACATTTAAAAGGCACCTGGATGGGTATATGAATTGGAAGGATTTAGAGTGATATGAGCCAAATGCTGGAAAATGGGACTAAAGACTAAATGTTTAGGATACCTGGTCAGCATGAATGAGTTGGCCTGAAGGTTCTGTTTCCATACAATACAGCTCTATGACTCATGGGCAGGTTAGATGGATTGGCCATGCAAAATTGCCCATAATGTCCAGGGATGTGCAGGCTACGCGGATTAGCCATGGCAAATGCAGGGTTACAGGGATAGGGTAGGGGTGTGGATCTGGCTGCAATGCTTTTTAGAGGGTCAGTATAGATTTGACGGGTCAAATGGCCTGCTTCCACACTTTGAGGAATTCTAGTATTATAACATTAGCTACCACAGTTGGCACCCGAGACATGTATCTCATTGTTGTAGAAACAATAGCAAACATTCTGATGTGTGTTGGTTTCAAGTATATGTTCTGGCACTTTTCTTAACCCAGTTACTGTATACAAAAAAAGTAAGCTTATTTTTCCAGTAAAACCATTAACATATTGTCCTCCTATTCCTGACGTATTGGAGGAGTTCCTTGCTCTGCTGTACCTTAACTTGAGTTTATCTTTGTGCTGTTACCAAGGTAGACTAAAGATTGGAGATTAGGATTCAGTTGTTGTGGCTGAAGATAAACAGTAAAAACATATTGTGACCTTAAATATCTATTTGTATCATACTTATATGCACCTATCTAACAGCAATAAACTACTTAAAACTAACCTCCTTTCCCCCATCTTATGATGATAGCAATTAGAGGAGAAAAGTGAAGATGAAGAAGACAAAGAATGCCTGAAACAAGCCATAACTGCTCTTCTTAACCTCCAGAGCAGTATGGAAAGGATTTGTTCAAAATCACTTGCGAAAAGAAGGCTGAGGTAAGCAATTTCCATTCATCCCTGCGTTTTTCCTGGTTGGTCACATTTGTAAGTTACTGTGGTTCCCATTTCCTCTTACTGTTAACAAAGAACAGTGTTTGCCTTTAGTGTTAGGATGACTTTTACACAGGAAGTGATGTCAGATACCAAAAGCTTGTTTTTATTCAAAGCATTTTATGCTTTTGAGTTGCTGTACAACTGAAGCTTAAAACCAAGCAACATCTTGATTTATGAGTATGACGACTTTGCTAAGCATCAGGTGGTAAGCTGAGAAATTCTTGAAAGGTTCTTCTTTAAGGGAAATTAGCTACATTGTCTTTTTTTTAAAATTAAAATCATTCCATGATAATATTCAACAAAAGTTTTTATGTTTTGTACTTGCTACTGCGAAGAAATAAGTGGAAACATGCATCTTTTTATTTAGTTGTCTTCTCGCTTTCCTTCTCAGTGAGACCAAATGAATGGAACTGTTTTGCTCAGTGTTGAAGTTCGGCAAATTATTAACACTGCTGTTAGAACAAATTGAATAACTTGACAGTTCCAGTTGTTCAGCAGTGATTTCAGCAGAGAGCCAAAACGTAAATTCCAAAGTGCCCCAGAATGAGTGATTTACTTTCCTATTTGAGCTATGTGATGGAATACTTAAGTGTGCAGAAAAGTGTGACTGGCCCACCAATGCAGAAGTATGCTTTTGTATTGAGAGAGTGTTCACTTGCTGACAACCCAAGAGACATTTGTGACATGGATTTTTCTGTCGAGAGGTTGAAATGTGCATGTGGTTGTTCAAAAGAGAATTTAATATTTTAACCTTAAAGATATATATAATCTTTAAATGGTTGAAATGGTTGGGAAAACTAGTTACTCTATTAAAATATTTGTTTCAATTTTGTCAGTGCATTGTACAAATATCTGCACTTTTCAGTTATCTGCATCAGTGCATAGGTATTTGTTTTTACTTATCAGGATTAACAGATTGAGATTTGGTAATTGGACCTTTTTTCTCTCTTTCAGTGAGTCTGCCTGTCGTTTTTATAATCAACAAATGAAAAGCAAACACCTTGCAATCAAGAAAATGAATGAAATCCAGAAAAATATTGATGGCTGGGAAGGCAAAGACATTGGACAGTGCTGCAATGAATTTATAATGGAAGGCACACTGACACGTGTGGGTGCAAAACATGAAAGGCACATATTCCTATTTGATGGCTTGATGATTTGCTGTAAATCAAATCATGGTCAGCCTAGGTTGCCTGGTGGAAGCTATGCAGAATATCGTCTCAAAGAGAAGTTTTTCATGCGTAAGGTACAGATCAATGACAAAGATGACACTAATGAGTACAAACATGCTTTTGAAGTTATCTTGAAGGATGAAAACGGTGTAATTTTTGCTGCTAAATCAGCAGAGGAAAAGAATAATTGGATGGCAGCTTTAATTTCTTTACAATATCGTAGTACACTGGAGAGGATGTTGGATACCACTATGCTACAGGAGGAGAAAGAGGAGCCGCTTAGGCTCCCAAGTCCTGAAGTATACAGGTTTGCTGAGCCAGATTCTGAGGAGAACATTGTGTTTGAGGAGAATGTGCAATCTAAATCGGGAATTCCTATTATCAAAGCTGGAACTGTTACAAAACTGATCGAGCGGCTTACTTACCATATGTATGCAGGTAGGTACAACCTTTTTGGAATAGGCTGCTGTATTAAGAGATTTAATACATTACAGAAAGGTTAGGTATCAGATGCTGAAAGAAATGTAAGTTATTGCTTATTATATAGAAATAACAGTTATGGCAACTTTACCTTTTTTATTTATACAGCTTAAGAAAAGTTTTTCCTACTGTTGAAACTAACCTGAGAACCTTTCGAACTTTGCTCAGATGGAGCTAATAAAATGTTACATTTCAACACTGAACAACTGAACTGAACATTGAATAATTCAACAAGCACAGTGTAATAGCTAGCCCTAAACAGATGATCCTAATCCATAATTTTAAAGGATGGAAGCAATACAAGGAAGAAAATTTTTCCTGTTCAAATCATTCTTTAGGGGGGGAAAAAAAATTATGTTTAACTTTCAAGATTGCTGGCCTCGCATTTAGTATCATAAATAGAAATCATGGCGATATTATTGCATATGCTTCACCAATAATAAGTGCTGTTCCAGTGCATATGTGTGAATGGGAACTGATTTGTTTGTCCAGTTCATTACTTTCCTGCAATAAGTCTTGCTTGGCAAATCTAATTCTTCTATTTCAGTAATGTCATGTGGTTATTTTTGTTCCGGCAGTTTGGTTTTTGTAGATATTTAAAACAGTTGATATTGTTTGGACAAAGGTCACTTCTAATCTTGGAAATACTTGTGACCCAGCCTTTCGAGTCATGTTTTCCTTTTTTCATCTGTGGACACAAAGCAGGAAGTTGCAGTGCTTTTTTCTGTGGTGAAATGTAGCGGTTGTAGATGCCTCTGATCTTCATTTATCAATTTCTATAATTTGGCATGAGAAGCACGCTATGTATCAATACTTTTGTGGCCCTAATTAGAAGCAATTGACTGCAGTTGATAATGCAAATTTGTGTCCCAGTTGAGGTTTGGTTTTTGCTTCATCACTAAGAAGCAACACTTAAATGCCAGAACAATTCATATTTGGCTTTGGTGAAATAAAGCCTATTATGGTTACTATTTATTTTGTGTAGTTTTGTGCTTTTGAAAATGAAGGCATGAGAAAATCAGCTAATTTTCTCTTCATCCATTGCCAGTGTGGAATGCTCATGGGTCATTTAATTGGAAAGTCAAATTTGCTCCTGTCTCAACAAATTGTTTTAACTTAATTTCCAGAGAAACAGCTCTGACTGCACCGGTGTGATATTTTATTTCCAGCATTATGTGCTTCATTGTGCTATTATTAGGTTGATTTCTACTTTGGATGAAATTTTTGTCAGCAGAATTAAGAATGTTGCAATATTTGAAGATGCCAAGTTAAAAGTTACAGAATATCCATGTTCTATGAGTGAGCTATTAGTTTCATTCTTGAATTTGTATGTATTTCCATCTCACTTGTGTAAAATGTGTTTAATTTGGTATATATTTGTACTTATTTGGTGCATAGAGATATGTTCCATGTGGGATGTAAGTGATATGTGTATTTATATTGGTGGGATAAAGGTGCTTCCTGTTCATTGCACCTGCTGTAACTGAGTCATTCATAAGGGCTGTTCCGACCATTCATGAAACTCATTCTTGACTTCCTGTCTAAAAAGAAGTAAATAATTTTTTCCTTTTTATTTTAAATTTTAAAAGAATAAGATAAGCAAGTGGGCACAGGTTTGCTAAAGTTATGAAGCTGTTGGCCTTACCCATCATCTATGCCACTGTTGTGTTCTATTTTTCGTGTTCTATTACTTCAGTGCACTGCTTGTATGTAATCAGTACGTCTGTTTCCTTTCTTGTTGAAGTTGAGGATGATTGTTTACAAAGAAGCTTATTGTTCATTCTTGATTCAAAACTGTTGGAGTTGGGTGGGGTAGTTAACACTTGGGAAAACTCTTCGTGTTAATGAACAAATAAGCTTTCAAGAAAAAGCTTTGCAGCCCTAATAAGAAAACGTTTAACTACATAACTTGTACCAAATAACTGAACAGATAGTAGTAATTTAAGCTGAATGAGAACAGTTAAATGTAAGCTCTAGTGCACAGAACTATAATCTTGCTTCCTAGGAGTAATTTGAATAAATAGTTGCGGATCCAAAATTTGTGAGAAAAGTGAATTGTGTAGCTCATTACTGTAGCATGGAGTTTTACCTCTGGTTTGAGGATATATTGAGCAGAGGATTTGTATTGACCATATTAACAATTGTATTTATGAATACATAGCCATTAAGTAATTTACAAGGGGATCCTGTGGGCATTGAGAAATCTGAACAAGTTCAGAAAGAATTTGAAAACAGGATGTTATGATACAATGGAACTCACTTTTGAAAGTAAACATTGATTAAACCTATTTAAAAATTTCCTTAGTATCACCTTGAGAACTCCAGTGCAAATCTGAAATTAGAATGAATAAGAAATAATCCATTTACTCCCTCAAAGTAAATTGAAAACAAATTACACCAAGTTCACTTTAGGTCTGCAGAGCTGATGCAAGATTTTTATTTCTCCCAAACCTAATGAGCACTATAAAGTGTATTATAAAATGTCTTCTTTCCACATTCTGATGTCATTGGGCCATTTTTGTTTCCTGCACCTGCTTAAAGAATATTTAATATATTATCAAAGTTGTTGATTTTCCATTAAGCAAAATTATTAAATAGACAGTAAAATTTTTATTTTGTGTGAACAGTGGGAGATTCCAATTTAGCTGGTGGGGTTTACTATTCAATGTTCCAGTTAGGACGCTCAGAAAAATCCATGTTTGCACAATTCTAGCATTTCAACAAATTGGGAACCGCCTTACAGTTGCAGCCTTTGTCACAATGAAGATCAAGTTCATAAGGCAAGAGTTGTTTCTGCAAGACAGTGCACAAATGATCTCCTTTTCTTTTGCATTACGTATTACGAAAGGGTTATTAACCTGGATCCTGCTACTTCCAGAAGTCCTGAATATCTGCTTTCTTTTTAAAATGAAATATGTTTGATATGTTATGCAACATCTGTGAAGCCAACTTATACTTTGTCCCTGGGAGACATTTTTAAATTAACAAATTGAGGACTCACTAAAAATCTGCATACTCTGGTATCCAGTGGTTGATCTTATTAAGAGTTTTTCATCACAAATCATTTGTTCAGGTTCGAGTCTATGACTTTAAACAGGCTGATATCAAATCGGTCTTATAGCAGTTCAGAACAAGAATGGAGAAGATAGCATTTTGCAAATTTTAACAGTTTAAAAACCTAAAAGCAAACAATGCTTCCTAGCTTTTCTGAATTCTTCTTTAGTTCAGGAAGATGTGAATGATTTTGTTTTTCACAAACTTGACCTAATTAGGAGACCTTTATCTTCTTGGTTATCAGCCCACTCCAAAACACTCTGCTGCAAGCCATTTTGAATTTGCAATAATCTATACTGCAGCTTATGAGCAACTGACAAAATTACCAAAGCATGTATTGCCAAAATTTGTCCAATCAGAGTGAGAATCATCCTTTAGATGATGGGTTATCTTATGAGGAGAGGTTGGGCTTGAATCCTTTGGAGTTAAGAGCCATGGATTTGAACTATTGAAACCTGTGGTATCCCAAGCGGAATTGATAGAGTTGATGCTGAGAGGATGTTTAACCTTGTGGGTCTAGGGGCACTGTTGAAAAATGAGGGGTGTCACATTTAAGGCAGAGATGATGAGAATTTTTGCCAGAATTTCTGCCAGGTTTGTTAGTTTTTGGAAGTCTCTTTCCCAGAGATCAGTGGAGGTACGGTCATTGAATATTTTTAAGACTGTTAGGTAGATTAACTAACAAAGGATTTGAATGCAATAAGCAGCAAAGTGGCTTTGGGACAACAGTCAAATCAGCTGTGACCTTATCAAACAGCAGTGCAGGTTCAAGAAGCCGAATCGTAAACCTTCTAATTCATATGGACAGCAAAGAAGGTTACCTCAGAGTATAATGAGACCTTGATCAATTGGGCTGAAGAGTGACAGATGGAGTTTAATGTAGATAAATGTGAGGTGCTACATTTATGGTAGGGCAAATCAGGGCAGGACTTGTAGATTTAATGGTAAGTTCCTGGAGAGTGTTGCCAAACAAAGAAACCTCAGAGTGCAGGTTCATAGTTCCTTGAAAGTGGAGTCATAGTAGGCAGGGTAGTGAAGAAGGCATTTGGCATGCCTACCTTTATTGGTCAGTGCATTGAGTACAGGAGTTGGGAGGTCATGTTGTGGTTGTACAGGACGTTGGTGAGGCTACTTTTGGAATACTGTATTCAATTCTAGTCTTCCTGCTACAGGAAGGATGTTGTGAAACTTGAAAGGGTTCTGCAATATTTAGAAGGATGTTGCCAGAGTTGGAGGGTTTGATCTGTAGAGAGAGGCTGAATAGGCAGGAGCTTTATTCCTAGGAGTATCAGAGGCTGAGGTGTGACTTTAAAGAAGTTTATAAAATCATGAAGGGCATGGATAGGGTGAATAGTCAAGGTCTTTTCCCCAGGGTAGGGGTATCCAAAATTAGAGGGCATAGGTTTAAGGTGAGAGGGGAAAGGTTTTAGAAAGGACCTAAGGGGCAACTTTTTCACAGAAGGTGGTGCTTGTATGGAATGAACTGCCAGAGGAAGTGGTGGAGACATCTGGATGGGTACATGAAAAGGAAATTTCTGATGAAGGGTCTAGACCCGAAACGTTATACTCTGATTCTCATACTCTCTATACTCTCGTTATACTCTGAGGTAACCTTCCTGCTCCTATGACGCTGCTTGGCCTGCTGTGTTCATCCAGCTCTACACTTTTTGTTATCTGATTTTCCAGCATCTGCAGTTCCTACTATCTCGGGTACGTGAAAAGGTAGTGTTTACAGGGATATGGGCTAAATGCTGGCAAATGGGGCCAGATTAATTTAGGATATCTGGTCAGCATGGACGAGTTGGCCCGAAGATTCTGTTTCCATGCTGTACATTTCTATGACTGTATGTTTGTATCTGCTCCCCAAATTGTCATGCGTATCTTTGCTACTTTGATTATTTCAG